CTCATTTTACAGACCTTCACTGAGCTACATAAAACCATTTGCCACTCCCTAGACTAGGCCTTGCATCATAAAACCTGAATGTTTGTGTTCATTTCTGATCCCTCAAGCTACAGTAGCCTCTATCACTTCACTCTAAATTCAGTTCTACTCATCTTCCAGGACCCCTTCCAATGCCATCAGTTCTGTTATGTTCTTCAAGCTGTCTCACCCAGAATCAATCATTCTCTCTTCAGTCCTCACTTAGCATTTAGGTTCTTAAGAAGATGCCTCCCAAGTAAAGTCTCCCCAGTAAGATTGTAGGCTCCTTGAGTGCAGAAGCCATTTTTTTCCGAGTCTCTGAATTTTCATCCTAATTCCCAAAGTGCCATTCATTCAGAAGCACTCCTTGAATTTTGACTTTTCACATATGGGTACACTGAGGTTAAAAAGGAATACATAGGGCCAGCCTGTGGGGTGGTGGTTAAGGCAGCCAGATCCTACATGGCCGTCTGCCAGTTCAAATTCTAGACACTGCTGCTTGAGAAATGCACCAGATGCATGTGCTTGTGTGCTTGAAATCCTAAAAGGAAGAAGAAATGGAGGAAGGGATTGAGACGTGTCCATTCTCCATAGTGGGTGACTTCTCATTTTCCCTTTCTCTTTCTGTTTCTGTCCCCCTTCAGTGAGCACACACACCCTCTAGCAATTAAAAATTTAAAAAATTTTTAAAAAGAGTAAGTAGCTAAGGTTATAGAGAAACTCACTATACCTGTGAGCAAAACCCAGACCTGTGCAGTCTCCATTCAGTCCTTTCTCCATATTACCTGAATGCCTTCCAGCTTTCCAGCTCTGCACATGAACTTGCCTTCTAAAATCATAGTCCATAAATGGGATCATCTCACCTTTTAAGTATTCAAGATTCAGGGGCTGTCCAGTACCACAGTGGTAAGATGTACTGCTCTGTGAGACACGTGTACATGGAAAGGTTCCAGGCTTGTGTCCACAGACCTCCCTGAGTACACAAGGCATATCATGCATGCCCATGTACCAGGACTGACTGAGGCTGGAAGTGGATCAGAGCACACCTCTTTCTCGCTCTCATTCATGGAAGAAATAAATAAACTTTAAAAAAATTTCTAGATTTATGGCCAGAAATATTGGAAGTCTCAAGTCTTTCTTCCACTCATGTGTCCTCTAATGTCCTCCCTAGATCATAAACCTCATGAAGGAGAGGACTGACTCTTTTTTATTTATTTTTCCTCACTATATATCCACTATCTACAATCATGCCTGGGACATAGCAGGTGCTTCATGAGTGTTTGCTGAATGAAAAATGAACCCATTGTATAATACTTGAAAGACCCTTGAGGCTCTCCGAAGGAAGTCAGAAACCATGCTCTCAATTATTCAGTTAAGGCTAGTCTTTTTAACAATTGAATTATGTATCCCACAACTACTGGCAACCCTGACATCTGTACCACACTCCCCTTCTCTTGTACCTCTTTTATAAAAGCCTCTTGTATTGGAGGGGAAATAGTAAGTGTTAAAGCCCAGCCTGATTTTTCTTGCATACCTAAAAACATCCTTTACTCTCTACCAGACCTTTTCCTACTCTTTGCCCAAAAGGAGCTTATCTCTATAATCCTGTCACACGTAATGATTCCCTTTTCCCTCATTTTTCTCCTTCTTACCACCTTTCCCAGCCAAGCACCCCCTCACTTTCTAATCCTGTTCAGCATCTCTCAGGATTCCTCGACACAATGTCAAGCCCTGATGAATGATGTAAAGCCCTAAAGCTAGACCCCAAAGAAACAAAGTCTCAAGATGATCTATTCTGTCATAAATGTATTCAATATTCCATGTCCAAGATTTGGGGCATGTGTCTGTGTGTGAGCTGTATTGTGCCTTTAGCCACAGGTGCAGGGCCCATGTTGAAAAATATCAGTCATTTGTAAATATTCTTGTCTACATTAAAAAAAAAATAAGAACACTTTTTCGCATGAACAAATAAGTGCTATCTCTTCTACTGGAATTTTACTCACCTGTTTTATTTTATTTATTTTTCTCTTCTCTGAGTAAGAGGGAGAGACAGACATCCCCAATAAAGTCCAATGCCACAGTCTGCCTTCAGCGTCAGTCATCCCTAGACAATGGGCATATACTCAGAGAGATCTCTGAACTTAAACTGTGAACCTTCCAAATTCCCGTTTGGAATTACCTCAAGAAACATCATGTTTTACCACCGCACTACTCTCTGGCCCCTCACCTGTTTGTTGTGCTGGGGTTGTGTTTATGAGAACAGTGAGCGGCTCTGAGTACATGCTAAAGAGATGGGGGTAACAGGATAAGAGGGAGAGGAGCAAGTGAGAATGGCCAGGTCATCTTCTCGTATCCCACCGCCTACTTTATTCTACACTGAATTCTCTACATTCCCTTTCTGGCACAACTCTGTGCTGGAATTTACACAGATGTAGACAATTATGCCTTTGAAACTTGAAATTTGGCTTCCAAAAAAGTTTATCCCATTGTCTACACAGATGCCATTTGAGTGTGAATTTAGAAAAGTTAAGAGCTTAGAAAATGGTATCTTCCATTCCTGCCAGAACCCTTTTGAGCTCCTAACATTTAAACACGAAATGAAGCCCTCTGATAAGATTTGGTGTGTGTCCATGGGCAGACTTGGCAGAGTTGCCACTCAGTGTCCCTGGTCTGTGTTCTGTTCTTCCCCACTCTTCTTCCAAGAGCAGAGCCACTCCTGTGAGTGAGTGAAAATCCCAGCTGATGGGAGAACAGACTTCTCTCTCTGTGGCCAAGTAGCCATCAACTCACAAGTAACTGCCAATTCTCAAATATGTTTCAAAGCTCCTAGACTCAAGTGAGGGAATAATCATGCCCTGAAGAAGACTTTAGTATTAACTGGTGCTGGTTCTCTAAGAAGAGTGATCGAAGTTAAACGGCCCAAAACTGAAAAGGGAGGTCTGCCCAGAGTTCTGTCAGAGTGCTCACGTTACACAGAGCTCTAGAAAACCAACACACTGGCTGCAGATAAAGGGATCAAATAGGAGCTCTACAGAGTGTGTCAGGCTCAGGAGTGACAGACAAATCTAACTTCGGCCTTCAGGGTGTTTCTGTTTCATGAAGGAAACACCATCACCCATCAAGAAGTCAGTTTTATTCAAGTCAGATGTTAAACTTGACTTACCTATTCCAGAGCAAAATTCCTCACGGACTTGTTGCAGAGAAATGGTACAAGAAATGAGAGTGAATCAGTTGCCTTCCCAATCACTTGCCCACTTCATTTGCCATCCTTCCACTCTCCAATGCTACTGAGAGAAGGGACAACATTAGTTTTTGAAGGGTGGGAGGCAAGAACTTTCCCTAATCCCAAGCTTAGATGTGGAGTCGATGAGTTCCAGAAAAATGAATACTAAAGTGCTTGTACATACTCACAGTTTTGTTTGTTTGTTTTTGGGAAAAAAAATCATAGCTTTCCTCAGATTCTTTTTATTATTATTTTTTAAGAGAGATTTTTGCTATAGAGCATGTGCGCTCACCAGAGACATAGAGAGACAGGGAGACAATAAGTGAGAAATCACTCCCTAGGGGGAATAGCCACACCACAATCCCTTCTCCTCTTGGAATTTTTGGGCATACACACACACACACACACACACACACACACACACATATATGCACACTCCCAGCATGCATTTTAAGGCACCAGGTCCAGGACTTGAACCACAGTCAACTACATGCAAGTCCAGCAATGTAACCATTACGCCATCTGCTAGTCCGGGATTCCTCAAATTATCAGAGAGGTCTATAGGCCAAATCACATTAAAAACTGTTGCCCTGTATCTTACATGATTTCACATTCCCCTGTCCTCAGAATCAGAAATCCTAAAAGAAGAGGTCCGATACTGTAAGATAAACCCAATGGGTTGGCAAATTCTCGAAATAAGAAAACCAGTGCCTACCACTTGAGTCCTTCCTGGATGATATTACAACAACCTCTATTCCAAGAACAAACAGAACCTAAAACAGTTCCCTCGACCACCACTTTCCCCATCCCGGCATCATTTATTCTTTGCATGATAGCCAGTATAATTTATAACGACCTCCTCTCTGCTCCACTGCCCTAGCCCAATGGGCACAGGCCCAGCTCTGGCATCTTGTTATGAGGAGGTTCCTTACCTTATCTACTCATTCAGGCAAAAGAACCTTGACTGAAATTATCATTTAGGTCCATCCTGTTCTTATTTCCATTTTTAAAAATACCTAAAGGGGGGGGAGCAGATGGCACAGAGGTTAAGATGCTAGACTCTCCCACCTAGTCAACCGCAGATTGAAAATCACACTGGGCGTGTGTGCATGCCTGTGCATGCATATTCATCCAGTAGAGGATTACAATGCTACTATCTTTCCTAGTCTGCCAAAACTTTAGGATGACATTGAACTTATTGTCCAGGAGCCATGTTAAACTGTGATGGCAAGTGGAGGTCAAGAATAGCACAGCCAAACCCGTGTCTAAGGTCCCCATATCTTGCACAGAGGACTCACTCTCCTCCATTACACACTTTGCCTATATCACCTGCCTCATGTTGGGTCTCTCGCTCTGTTAAGCAGTAATCATAACAGGTACTTTGAAACAGGAAGATAACAAATTCCAAGTTTATGGAATTCCAAATTCCAAATTTCTTTTACCTAAAAAAGAAAATCCCCCACTTTACATAAGTCATAAGCTATGGTCCTCCCTCTATTGCATTAGCAGCACATTCCTTGCTGAAAACAGCTGCAGTTTCCCTGCTCAACCAGCTCATGGTCTTTCACACATTGAGTAGACCATGTTATATTTAATTCTCTGCTTTTTCTCCATAAATTGCACACAAATTCAAGGCACCATTCAATAGTCATGTAAATCAAAAGGACAATCATTTGTTACCTAGTCTATGCAGGGATCATCAGAAGCTAGTCATACAACGGTAACAAACAACCCCTGCTCATCATTCTTCTTTCCACAGATTCGAAACGTGGCAGCAAACCTCTGTGTGGACAGCAAGCATGGGGCCACAGGAACTGAGCTGAGGCTGGACATCTGTGTCAAGGATGGTTCTGAAAGGACCTGGTCTCATGAACAGGTATGTCAGCTTCCCTAAGTCATGGAATTAGGGACTGGTGGGGGGGGCAGAGGAAGGAATGAAGGGGTACAGTGGGGAGAAATCTCTAGATGGTTTGTGTGAGACCTAGATTAAGTCATGGTTCTGTCACCAAAAAACTCTATAATTAAGTGAATTACTTTACTTCTCATATCTTTTCAGAGTCCTTGTGATAATCAACAGAGATAATATAGGCAAGTATGCTTTAAATAATAGAAAGGATAATAGAAATGTTGATTGTGACCCTAGTGTTATGTCCTTTCCCAGAATGAGAGTTTTCAAAACCCAAAAAAGTCTGTAGATTGTTTTGAACCTCTTCCAGCTAAACTTCATGGTTTTAATGAAAGATTCTTTTGTCCAATGTTTGAGATTTTCTCTATTATTTTCCTCCTCTGGCTGCATATTATAAAGAATACTTTACATGGATTCCTCATTATAGTAGTAATCTTTAATATTGTACACAAAGGATAACTCTGAGGCAATAATACCCCAACAGGAACTTCACAGAGTACTTTAAGATCTTGTCTTGCATTTGACTGCAAAATATTTCAGTCTGACTCAGTTTAAGTGCAGTGTGATTTCTAACCCATTCTGAAATGTGGAAGTCCTTGTAAGGGACTTTCCTTACACTGTGTCTTCTATGAAAGAGAAAGATAGTGAGTAGAATTGAATCTGCCCTTTTTAGTGTTTTAATGTTAAACTATGAAAGATTTCCATTGAAAATTATAGAAAATATTATAGCAGATATTTATACCCTAAATTACACAGGTTTAACAAGTATCGATGGCAGTTGCCATATTAAACATTTATAGATACATCAGGAGGCTGAAACAAGAGGATCTCAACTTCACAGTCAGTGTAGAGAGCATAGCAAAACCCTGTCTTAAAAAACACTCCACACACACACATACACAGTTTAACTTCCAGATACAGTTAAAGCCCCTCCCACCCTCCATTTCTCCTATTTCCCTCTACAGAAAAACATACCTCAACACCAGAACTTAAGCCTCTGCTTCTGCTTTCAAATTCCCAGAATGGCCCTTAATGCCTCTCATATGAAAACCAAAAGAAGTAAACAAGCAGCTCCCACTAAGGCTTTGCTGCTGTCTGATAGTTCTGTTCCTCAAGTGACCATCTTGGGTATTAAACCTGAAAAGGCCCTCTGGCCCAGCCTAGGGCAGAAGAGTTACTCAGGTGCACTGAGGTTCAGTAAGTGAGCATCTTCCTCTCCCCACCTGCTGCCCTTTTCCTTCCTACCTCTACTCCCTTGACGATGCACAGCAGTGGGCTGTTGGAAAATCTGCAACAAGTCAGATTCACAACACAGTCCCATATTAATCCAGTCAACACCGCCTCCCCTCTAATTGGTAATCTTGACTTATATTCTTACTCCACAACCTGATGGTATTCTAGAAGAATCATGGGTCTTGCAGTCTGATCCATCCAGATTTCAGTTTAAATTTTTTTCTTTTTTCATGATAAAGTGCATGCATATGCAAATGAGAGTGGGAGAGAATGAGAGAGAGAGAGGAGCACTCTCCATAGGGTCTGATCACACTGCAATCCCCTAGCTCCAATCCTATAGCCACGGTACCATAGGCATGGCCACCTGTGCCCTGCATATTTCAGGCTCACTAGTCTGGGCATTCAAAGTGCAGTCATCACCTGAGAGCCTTTTTTTTCTTTTTTTTTGAGAGAGGTTTTTGCTATAGGGTGCATGTGGTGGCCAGAAAAATACCCCCCAAGGGGTATGGCCAAGCCATAGTCCTTTCTCCTCCATTCTCCTCTCGGGATCTTGGGCACACATACACACACACCCGGTGTGAGTTTAAGCCACCGGGTCCAGGACTCGAACCATGGTTGACTACATGAGAGTCCAGTGATGCAGCCATTATGCCAATTGCTGGTCCCAAGATCCTACTTTTTTTTTTCTTTGAGCAGTACAATTCCTCTGCACCATGGGGCAAGTCTTAGGCGTCCATTTAAACCATGTGACCTTGTGAAATTGTTAAATCCTTCTAGGTCATACTTTCTCCATCTGTGAAAAGGGACAATAATGCCACCTCATGGGCAGGGTTGTTTTGAGAACAATTAATACCTGTATCACAGATTGCACATGTGATCAGCATGGGATAAATATACTTTCCATTCTGCCTTCTCACACACACTACAAAATCCTCACGTCCTAAGGCCAAGTGAGAAATTGCGCTCAGGTCCAAGACTGCAGTGACTTGGACTCCACCCATTCATCCTAGCCTATTGGCCAAGTACTAGTTATTGTTCACTCACACATATCCTCAGTGCGTGCACACTTACTGCATGGGCTTTAAAGTATATCTTTAAAAAGAAAAAAGATGACCCACCCTAGTGGAACAGACAGTGGCGAACTGAACTGCAGTGCTGGAAACCACATGGCCACTGCACACATAGACCCCTGGGCTGGCTTGAACCTGTGACCAGTGGATGTTTATGTGCCCAGGATGCTGATGAGCTGGAGGGCTGGGGCAGGGGGATTAGGACATGTTGGAACTCTGTCGGGGTACTTCTCTCTCTCTCCTCTCTAACATAAATAAAATTGATAAACTTTTTTTAAAACAAAACATAAAAAGGAGAAATTCATAAGGAAAATCTTCATCTCTTGGGCCATATTTCTCTCTACCATCTCTATTCAGCCCAACCAGGAAACATACCTAGCAACTGGTTGATATGAAGGATGCATGTCTGAGTGCCTGAATCCTGTTTAGTATGTCTGCCCAGTAATGGTCCAGAATGAAAACTACCCTGGCGTGCAGATTTTATATGACAACTGAAAATGAATATAAGCAAAACCAACAACACTGTGTACACTTTAAAAATTGTTGGTTCATTTTTCCCCTCAGGCTAAACTGCAAAAATCTATAGCATGTAACTTGTGAAATGCTCACCAGAGGGCAGCACTAGATAAGCAGAAAATTTGACACTGGCCAAACGAAATAACCAATTAATATAGCTCTTTTAGAAGATATCCAGTCTTTCAGAGCCTAAAAAAGGAGCTGCTGAGGAATTAAACAACTGCTGACAGGAGGTGAAAAGGGAAACATATTTGAAATATGTATCACCACATATTGACTTGGAGGTTGAAACATTATACGCTGCCTCATTTTCCAGTAATTAAGCGTTATTCAATACATTACTTGATGACTTATAGAAATTAGGGCTCATTGTTCTACATTCATATTAAAATTTCTTCATGAGAATAGACAGGGCATAAAAATGATGGGCATTCTTTGTAATCCAAAGCATTCAAAGAACATAAAAGATGTACTCATTAGCATTGAGATGATTCCCCTCTCTTTAAAAAAAAGGGGAGGCAAAATTAAGGCACTAAAGAGTAAACAAAATTGCTACATGGGAAATAAAGAAGAGTCCCTTGAAGTACCTGTATCTCTTTAAAATGCCTTTTGTGCGGAACAGTAGTGATGACTAATCTGGCTTCTGTGAAGGAAGAAAACACATGATTCATTTTTCCAGGGTGATCTATTTAGCTGTTTGATATCACTGTAAGCATTGTGTGCTGGCTCTCAGATTCCTTGAGGGACTAAGAAAGAAAAATAAAAATAGATCCTAATAAGACTGTAAGGTCTGGAAAGAATACTCCCCAGCTCCCTTTCCCAGTCCAAGG